CCCTCAGCATGCCTCCTCAGCATCCCCCCTCAGCATTCCTCCTCAGTATCCCCCCTCAGCATTTCTCCTCAGTATTCCACCTCACTGTCCCCCCCTCAGCATCCCACCTCAGCAGAACTGAGTTTATGAAGAGGCTTTTTAAACTAGAATTTTTGTATTTGCTTTTAATATGTGTCTTTCTAAAGGTCAGAAAATAATGCTCAACAAAATAAAACACCAACACATAAGTCAAAGTTTATATCAACTTCTCTGATGTGCTTGTCATACTGTTATGGGTCTGGGGTCCTTCAGAGATTCACCAGTCTAACAATTAAGCTTTTTAATTTTTAAACGAAGAAGAGGCTTCATTCAGATACTGATGCTGGATACTCATGGTGTAGGACTGCACCCAAGATGCTCTCAAGATGCAGTACCAACTTACATTAGTTAGAGGTTTATAAAGGCTAAAATCACAAGGCTATGTACTTCCTGCCTTCATACAATCAGGGGCAAGCACACATCATGATGTACTTCATGTCTACAAGTAATCAGGCATACATTCCACCTACATGCAGTCAAGCACACATCCTACCTACAAGCAGTCAGGGGCAAGCAAACTTGTTTACAGAAGTAAAAACACATGGTTTGTACAAGATCAGGCAATAACAAGAACGGCCCACCAGCATTCTGGGAAGTTATCTGTCCTTGGGCAAGTGGAACAAGGTTAGACATTTTTGTTTTATAGTTCTCTTAAGTACAGTAATTTTAAACTTTTAGTCATAATGTTCACCATCACAGTATGACTCACACCAAATAGACCTGTGATACATTTATTTCAGTTTCTTGAATTGACACTCAAAGGAGAAACTTTTTGAGGTTTTAATTAATAATGGAAAATTCACTAGTTCATGGCCTCCTGTTCCTAATTGTCCCTATGATAATTAGGCCATTTAAAAAAATGATCCTCTCAAGATGCAAATGAAAGTAGAAACAGGGGTTTATACAAACTTTAATTAGGCATATGGAAAAACACATCAGCATCTTAAGAACAGAAACTTAAGAAACAAACACAAACTTTTCCTCCTTATTCACATTGACCTGCTAGGCAATGTCAAGGAAAAATCAAAACACAAATCACTAGAAAATTGGTACAACCTAAAACTTCAAGTCAGTGACTGCTAACAAAACCCATGCTTCAAGTGAAATTATGCTACAGTCATAGTAATAATTACTCATTTTCATTATAATGCAACTGAATTTCTGCAGACTTCACCACCCTGTGGATGCAAGTGAGGTCACCTTGTTAATCATTAATCAAATGACACAGCTCATTAACCCACCTATGCAACAGGGTCCTCTGATCATTCTTCAGTTATTTCTCTTGTCCTGGTAACGCTCAATAGCAAGGATTTCCTTGCTATATCTCTCTTCTATTTTACTTTGAGTGTCTGGAAACTCCAGCAGGCTGAAGTCTCTTCAATGGTCTTTGCTGCTGCCATCCTAGCTGCTGATAGCTGCCCTCACTGTCCTTCTCTTTTCATGTCAGAAACACTGAGCCAGCCCTATAACCAATGTCTCTTTATGTAATGATGAAGTGGAGGGAGAAGAGTGACTTTCACCTCATGGATTGTTCTCTGTCTACTGAGTTTGCTGTGACAAATTTCTACAGGACTCTGTTGGAGGAAGGTTCAGGTAGCACACTGTCTTCAGAGATGATGGATTTGTTTTTCAAGTCATGTTTTCATACTCATGGTCCCCATATGTTCTGCATTTTTTAAAAAAATAGGTTTCTCTCATTTATTACATGCTGGCCACAGTTTTCCCTCCCTCTACTTCTCCTAGTCTTTCCCTCACTTCCCCTCTTCCTCAGATCCACCCCCCTCCTTTTTCCCTTAAGAGAAGAACAGACCTCCTAGGGATACTAGCTGAAAACAGCATTACAAGTTACAATATAACTAGACAGATACTCTCATATAAAGCCTGGATAAGGCCACCCAGCAGAAGGAAAAGGGTCTCAAGAGCAGGCAAAAGAACCAAAGACAACCCCCACTCCCACTATTAGGAGGCCTGAAAGAACACCAAACTACACAACTATAACATATATGCAGATCTATAACTCTAGATCAGACTCATACAGGCTCTATGATTGTCGCTCATGTCCATTGTTTCAGATATGGAAGTTGAGATGAAGACAGGTTAAGTGATGTGCCTAAAGCTGTAGAGTGAACCTGTGGGACTCAAGCTGTTTTGGGGGGAAATTAGGATCTTTAAATTGAATAAAAATTGAAGAGCCCATCATAGTAGTGATGATTAGAGTAGCTACTGTCATTATATTTACAGTGCAAGATGGTGCAAAGATATCTCCATCTTGTATTCTTGCTGAGGCTGTTTCTAGGTTTAACTGGAATCTGATCTCAATGGAGAATCCCATGGGAAACTATCCAACTCTATTCCTGGGACCAAAGATCAGGATGTCCTAGCTAAATTTAGCCTTTGTTAAAACTCCTTGCTTCCAACTGCTTACTCTGTGAAGCTCCCCCCATGCTTCCAACTGCTTACTCTGTGAAGCTCCCTCCAACATGCGTGCGCGCACACACACACACACACACACACACACACACACACACACACACACCACAGCTGCTGAACAAGATGCCTGGATGAGGTGTCTGCCCTTAAAAATTCTATGTTATGGACACTAGAGACCATACCTACATCCCTGAACACTTGGATGTGGTTCCAGTTGCCTGGAATAAAGAATTTCAAAAGGCTCTGGTTGGCTACCTATAACAATTCTGTAATAAGAAGTTTTGTCAACTTTACACAATAGAATAACATAGAAGGGAGCTTCATCAGGAACTGTCTAGATTAGGTTAGCCTTTTGGCATGTGTTTGTGTGGGGTGTGTGTGTGTGTTAATTGGGTGAATTGAGAAGAGCCAGCTTAGGAGAATGTGGAACTAGCTCATGAGCTAGGCCCAGGACTGTGTCAGTGAAGAGCTAGCTGAGCACAAGCACTCATGCATTCATTTTCTCTCTTTCCTTGACTGTGGATGTAAGTGGTTGCTTCAGGTTCCTGTTGTCTTGACTTTCTTATTATAATGGGTTGCTTATTTTTGAGCTAAAATAAACTCTACCCTAAATTGCTTTTGTCAAGGTGTGCTGTCACAGCAATTAGAAAGGAAATGAAGACACATTCCTTCAGAGATACTGTTTTTTAAACTATAATATGTTCACTGACTTGTTAGTCTACAGCAACTTTCCCAAAGTCGCTTAGCTAGAAAACAAAAGACACACCTCAAGTTGGTCTGACTCTGAAGCTCTTTGTTAGGTGTAAAACCCCCACAGGAAGCTGTTTTGTTGCCTTTGTGTGTTCTTGGGATGGAATTTTGTCTTCTACAAGTGTTTAAATTTCTGAGTTCAACTTTCAAGTGGTGTGTGTATGTGTGTGTGTGTGTGTGTGTGTGTGTGTGTGCGCGCGCGCGCATACGTGTGGTCATGTGCATATATGGAGGCCCGAGATCAATTTTAAGTGACTTCCTCAATCATTCTCCACCTAATTAATTAAGTAAGTAATTAATTTTTGAGACATGGTTTCTCTGTATTGTCTTGGCTGTCCTGGAAGTCATTCTGTAGACCAAGCTGGCCTTGAAACCAGAGATTCACCTGCCTCCCAAGTGCTGGGATTGCATGTGTCACCATCACCCAGTTTCCTTACTTATTTTTAAGGCACCACATCTCACTGTACCTGGGGCTCACTAATTCAGCTAGGTTGGCTGGTCAGTGAACTCCAGGGAGCCCCCTGTCTTTGCTAAGATTACAAGGTTGGTTGTAATATGGTTGGTTGTCATATTGGGTTCTGAGGATTGTACTCAAGTCCTCATGTTTGAAACATCCTCTCAACTGAACCATTTCCCAAAATTTGCTACTCCCACCTAATCATGAATTTTAATATAGCAACCTACAGCTGTTTTTTTTTTTAGATGAATCATTCAAGTTTCAAACTTCAGTCACTTTGTTGGTTGTTCCTTCATTCTTTTCATTCCTGTCCATCTTCTCTTCTCTTCTCTTTTCTTCTCTTCTCTTCTCTTCTCTTCTCTTCTCTTCTCATTTCCTTCTTCCTTCCTTCCTTCCTTCCTTCCTTCCTTCCTTCCTTCCTTCCTCTTCATTTTCTGTACCAGGGATTGTACCAAGGACCTCATGCACACCAGAAAAGCACTCTACCACTGAACTATACCCCCAGAAACATTAGTTTTCTGAATCTTTGAAGTGAGAGAAATAATAGCAGACCTCATGTCACAGGTGGTTTGTGAGGATCAAGTA